AAGAAACACTGATGCATTAATCAATAACAATAATAACCTCCCCCCCCCGTTCAGGCAGCACCCCCCCAAAGCAGTAAACCTAGGGGAAACACTGTATTAATTGCGCAGAACTACCAGGTTTAAACTGAATTATTTTAACTGCAAACAGAAGCTTCACAGCATATGAATGTTGTGTAGATATTGAATTGCATCATTCTGAATGGAGCCTCAAAGCGTTGTGTTCTTTGGTACATCAACATCTGTGTTTCTTTCCTCACTGCTTTATTAAGTCATTATTGCACCACTATCCTTACTTCCCCCTTTCATTCATGTATTTGATCTTTTTCTCCACATCACAGACATTTCTTGTCGCAAAGCTTGTTTGTGGTGTTAAATTATCCTGCAGAAGCGACAAGATTTACTTCATTAAGTCGCTGCAAAATTTACTGCTTCACTGCAGAGTAAGGGTAAGAATCTGTCCTCCTGGGCTCCATCAATAACCATTAGGGACCCTCTCTCATTACACCCAACCTCATAGACCTCCAGGTCTTGAGAAATGTGCCCTGCCCTCTGATGTGATGGAGTAAGCTTCGATGACATCACCTCTGTTTGGAAATGCAAATCGCATTGTTACTTTCCCCTGTGAATGATTGCCACCAGCACTATGGACACCGCCTCACTCAGCTTCTTTGCTTAATCAAGAAGAACCTCGCTTTCCTATCAGCAACCCCCAGTTTGTTTTTCAGCTACTCCTTTTTCTTCGATCCCTCCATCTTTGTACACACACCTCAAACCCCTTCAGCATGTCCAAAGCTACTGCAGTATGATTATTCATATGGCAATGAGACTGGATGGAGCTGGCCATGCTGCCACAGCGTGATGGGAGTGTTTTCGGATGATGACTTAGGAGTCCTGCAGCTTCTCTGCCAAGAGCAGGGAATTCAAACTTAATCAGGGCAAAGACCCCTCCCTTCCTCCTCCATCTCCCTGAGAGCTGCACACGGGTGAGGCCAAAACCGAACAGAATGGGAGAGACAAAAGCCAAAGTCTAGGGAACGTCCTGCACGCTCCCTCCTTCTGTGTTTAGTTTTTTTTCGTGGTGCGCCTGAGGTTTTCTCCCATGAGTGATGGGTTCAATTTGGGGCTATTGGCAACACTTTTTGGATTCAGAGAGGGGACATTAGCAAGATTATCTTTGTTCTAGTCTATCATTCCTATTTTAAAATCTTATATCGCTCATACAAACACACGCAGTGTTCCAAATGTCCACACACCACGCCTGTTGTCCATCCATCACCCACTCAGCACTGAGAGTGGAGCTCTGCAGAGAGCTCTGCAGCCGGCCCCTGGCCCTCTGTCCGCAGGATATGGTCACGCCAAGGGTAGGAGGCAATGATCGGCCCTGATCAATAATTAATCGACTGCATTAAAGCGTATGAATAAGTCATGGGCGGAAAGAACCCATTTGTCAGGGCACACACACACACTCACACACAAGAAAGTGATCTTTAACTTAGGCCAGGGGGAAATTAACAGACAGAAAAAAAGAGTAGAAAGCAAGGGTCTTAACTTGTAGGGAATTCATCACAGAACCACTGAAATGGTGTTGCATGTTGAAGCTTCTCTCTGTCTTTCCTCTCCACCAACCATTCTCTTTCACTCTCTCAAGTAATGGCCTTTTTCCTGCAGGCGGAATAAATAAGTTATTACATCCGTGTGTGTCCTAAGGCTTGCAAGGACCGTTTGAATATAAATAGTTCATTTGCCTCCAAAGTGGAGGCTCACTTTGTGCCATATAAATATATTTGTAATTACTTTTTTTTAAAGAAGAGCACGGGTGGGTGTTTTGGTTGAGTGGAGATGCAAGATGAAATTGCCTCACACAAATAAGTCTGCCAACCGTTTTTACCCCAAACACCATGTCAGAAAGGAGGGGGCTGTATGTGAGCGGGGGGCTTAACTCAATGCAGCCTTTTTATGTTTTGTGCTGACTATAAAGAGGGAACAGCCTGTGTGACGCTCTAGACAATTTAAATACTGAGTAGAATTGATGTGGTAAAGAAACTTTGCCAATAATTTGAATGGGAACAGCCCTTCTGAATATTTAATATCTCGGATGTATGCTTAAGCGAGATGGTATAACTTTACAGCAGCCAAGCTGGCATGTGTGTGTATACACTTGATTTCGTGTGTGTGTGTTTGTCTGTTGTTGCTGTTGCTGCTGCTGCCTTATTGAACATGATTATAAATTCAACAACGGAATTTCTAAGTTTGTGTGTGTGTGTGTGTGTGTGTGTGTGTGTGTGTGTGTGTGTGTGTGTGTGTGTGTGTGTGTGTGTGTGTGTGTGTGTGTGTGTGTGTGTGTGTGTGTGTGTGTGTGTGTGTGTGTGTGTGTGTGTGTGTGTGTGTGTGTGTGTGTGTGTGTGTGTGTGTGTGTGTGTGTGTGTGTGTGTGTGTGTGTGTGTGTGTGTGTGTGTGTGTGTGTGTGTGTGTGTGTGTGTGTGTGTGTGTGTGTGTGTATGCTCACATGTGTGGCTGCTCTTTGATGAGATGCCCTGTTGTGAGTTTGTGTCTGTGCTCCTGGAGGAAGTGCAGGAAGGGAAAGGAAGCAGCTCTTTGTTTCTGCCAACAGAAGTGTGTCAGACAGAAATACTCTGGGAGCAGCGCTGAGAAAAATACATTTCAGCCTACTACCGACTGCATACAGTATGGGCAGGAGTACGGAGGTGGAGCAGCACAGTGTTTCACTCTTAATTGAGATATTGCACTACGCAGGAAGTAAGTATAATGGTTGTTCAGCAAAACTTGCTGCGGTGAAGCAGATTCAAATATGCATGGTTAGATGAGGCTTAGTTTATCAGCACTGAAAACTCATGAGTAATTCAATGCATCTCTCTCGCTTACAACGTTCAACTTGTATACATATAAACGTAGTGTGTTAGCTGCTCCATATTTAGCATGCAGTCCTATCTCATTTGATTTGTCTTAAAGGCTTCACATATTACACCTGTGCCTTACCCCCTTTATATTTATCTGTACAGAAACATCATAAACAAACAATGGTGACTAGGTTTTTTTCCATCACTAGCTCGGAACTTAAGACTGTATAAAAGAAGTAGATGTACACAGTGGTTTGCGGACCACCAAGTTGAAGCCTCAAGTTTGGAATTTATTGAGATACGTACGCTGAACAAGAAGGATTTGTGACTGAAATCTAACAACTAACTTTAAGGAACTGAAACACACTGAAACGGTTACATTTGAATTCACGAAAAATGTGACAATAAGGTGGTGATGACCTGTCAATCACAAGGTAGCCCGCCCTAAAGCAATGTTTCTTTTTCATATATTTTACTCTACATTAGACCATCATCTACTAAATGGAAATCACAACCTTCTACAAGCAATTGAGACCATAAAATGATTAGCAAAATGTTCAGTAATGAGATATTTAATGAAGTGAGAAGTAATTTTTTCATAGACATCTATAGAATATGGCATATTTTTGCAATCAGTGGAGCGGCCCCTGTTAGGCCATGAACATGAATGCAGGTGAAAAGGTTTCTGTTCCCTCTGGACACTGCACATTAAAACTGAAACAAAACATTAAAATTCCCACATAAATAGATCGAGTATTCTGTACGACTAACTGTTCTGCCCTTACTTGCTGTCTCCTCTTTCCCCCCCCCGCTACAGTAACGTCTATGTGTTTGGATGTTTTTTCTTCATGCTCACAGTGCTTGTTCTGAGGAAGGATTCATTTGTTTCACTTACTGTGTTGTGTAAGCATTTGTGTGAGAGATAATTTCGCTTGTCATACCAATTACCTTTTGCTTTATTGGTTGTCACTCTCTATCTAAATGTAATAACTAGAGAGACTGCGTTGTGGGTACATACACATGCAGCTGCTAAACTGAACATATGACCTTGTGGGTTCACGCAGGTAATCTGTTTTCTGCATCCCATTACAGCTTCATTTCTGAATCAATGTTATCAGTTTTGACATAGAAGTTGGCAGTTATCGATCATAAACCAAGAAAATGCACAATCAGCCTTCCTGCCATTGGAGTAAACATCTGGAGAGTATCAGGAAATCAAGATTGGAGTAATCTGTGTTGATTTTTTCTGAGATAGATGACAAATAAATTCACAAATATAAATGCAAACTGAGCTGGGCAAGGTCATAAGAAATGATTGTTTCAGAAAGGATTGGTTAGATAAAGTACATTGAATCTCATTAAATTAAAGAGTATTTGTACAGGAAAACTTGCTGACCCTTTTGAAAATGGATAGACATATGGGGGAAATCATAATAAGGAGAATGTAGGCGAGGAATGAGAAGTTCCAGAGTTTTGCGTCCAGTGCTCTATCACCCTGACGACTCTGTCCAATTAGAGCATATGATTAGTGTAGTCTGTGAAATGGAATCTTTCAGCCAGGCTCCGATTGCTACAGGTCCCTGCAATTTAGCTATCACTTTGTCTCTGTCACCGCAGTGCTGCTAATATAAAACCGACAGAATGGATGATTTCTACTTAAGGCGTAGCTTGATTGAAGCTGATTACTTTTCACAAAGGGTTATTATATTTCCATAATATGTGCACATGGAGGGAGGGTGTATGTGGGTGGTATTTCTGTGTTTGTGGTAAGGAGAAGAAAGAAGTTCAAGGACGCAAAGCTTGTACATACGCACGCTCTGCACATGGTTTCACTCGGACTTTCTACTAGAATTGAGGGTTTGAATCATCCATGCATTTGCATTAAAAAGGCCACACTCAACATTACGTTGTTTGGGAGAAGTTCTTTCTATTCATTTCAAACAAATAATATTCCTGTTAGTAATTAACGTAATCTCCTAAACCCTTTACATAAGCTCTCTCCAAAAAAAAAAAGTATGTTTAAAAGACATGAAAAACTGGATTTTGCATAATACTGTAGGTGACTTTCAAGGACGCAGAAAGTGTGTATACCTTTACAGTCATCTAATTTGTTTCTGTTCTGTTTTTGCTGTCTTGTTCCAGGTTTCCAGAGCCAAGGGCACACCCCATGGACCCCCGGGACTTTGATGACAATGATTCTGGACCATCCATGGACCACGCCCCCTGATACCAGCAGACCTGACTCCTACCATCCACCTGTCCTTCAGTCTCTGCTACTGCCAGCCATCGGCCCCTTTGAGCTGTCAGGCTGGCCCCTCTAAACCCCCTCACTCTCTGTCAGCCATCTCGCTTTTACCCCTCTCACCTCTCCCCTCATGGTGCCTGCTGGCAGTGAGCTGACCTTGAAGAGGGCTGCTGTGACAAATATGGATGGCCATGTCTTTTTCTGATCCCCAACTTTTGTAATACCATACTCGCTCCTAACTTTCTTAAATGAAAGCACACAAGTTATGTGCAATCAATTACCATTAGGGATACTCCGATCGCCAATTTCGGGGCCGATCGCCGGAATCAGTATCGGCCGATCCGATCGAGTGGGCGGGCCTAAATGGAAGATTTAAACATCACTTTAAATCTTCCATTTAAAGTGATGTTTAAAACTTAGTTAATGGGGCTCATTCACTGGAGCTTCCACAAACAACAATCAACTTAATTATTACATTCAAATGATGTACATTATTCAAGTTTACATTCACTTTGGATAATAACACGGGAGAAATGAGCGGAAGCGCTCTCTTTTCCTCTCTCCCTCTCCCTCTCCTGACAGCCTGTCAGTATCTCATGCAGCTCACTGATCCAGTAATGAGTGACCCGACAGTAAAGAATAAATATATGTATAATAACTAGTTTAGCTTGTTCCAGAGGTAGATCAAATAGCTAAGTGTGTTAGGTCTAACTCTTGTGTGTTTCGCTCCGCTCACCGGTCCGGCGGGCGGAGCTGCAGGATTTCTGCTTCACACACGTTGCATTCCGCTATTTTACTGTCTTTTTCGGACACCTTAAAATACTGCCAGACCGGTGAAGCCATTTTGGCGAGCTTGTTTTGCCGCACACATGTATTTTACGTCATGCGATCGGTATGTTTAGAGAGCACCGATCAATCGGTAGAGAGTGAGTATCGGCCGATCTCGATCGGTGACCGATCGATCGGAGCATCCCTAATTACCATCAAGCTCAATTTCCACCGCCAGTCAGATCCTTGGCTTACTGGTGAGCCTGGCTGACTCAGACAGGAGCCTGGCTAGGCAGCCGAGCGAGGCATCTGTTAAGCCCGACAGATGTCACAAACGGGAAATTCTGTGACGCCGTGCGCTTCACACTTCATTTATGTACAATATGATTTTGTTTCGACAAACACTCCCAGACAAAGAAAAGTGAACTTTTGTATGCCGATATGCCTTACATCTTCGAGAGAAAATATTACAAAGCTGTTCTGGGTGTCATATTTTTTATTGTACTAAAAAAAAAAGTGTCTTAAGCTTTCGTTATACAATGATGTCTCTTGCACTTTCCATCATGCTGTTGCCCCCTCCTCTCCCTTAACCCTCTGCCCTACCCGCTGACTCGTTATGCTTGTAGATTTGCGCACACTTCCTTGCGTTTGTCTGATCTATTAAAGAAAGCGGGGGGACATTTTGACACGTATTGATTGGTGAATGTTGCTGAGTCTTTGTTAGGTGAAAATCGAACTGTAATTTGACTGTGCAAAATAGCACTCGCGCAGTATCAGCTTTCTTTACACTGTAATGTAAAGGCTCATTACTCTTGGCCAATCTGCAGCACATGACAGATTGCAATCCACGCGAGTGTACGCACTATCCACCTTGACCCGCTCAGCCATGGCTCTCATTCATGATGAACCGCCGCAAGTCTGTCTGTGTCAGCAGTTTGTTTTGAATGTGATTGATTTTGTTGCCTTAAATACAAAATGGAAACCGGTGTCACCCTTAATATATGGGACATCATGACTTCACTGTGCTGTAGCACTGTACAAAGATGCACTGAGAGTTGTTTACCCACCGGAAGGGATAAGTTGGTTTGTCAACAGCATATTGAAATAACTCCCGCAGCGCAAACTTTATAACTACCAACATAAATCTGACTGTTTGATGTTTCCACTTGTTTTGATGTGTCTATTATTGTCTTAAATCTATAAATAAACAGTCTGTTTCTTGGATTGAATGTGGAGGATGACATTAATATTTCAGTTTAGGAAACAATTTATGCATTATTTGTCTCTTGCAAAACACCATCAGTCATCCAGGACACTAATATTAAGAAAAAACAAGCTTGCAGGCAGCAGACGATGGATGGAGAGAGAGAGAGAGAGAGAGATGAAGGGCTGTAAAGAAGGGATTCAGGAAGGGGAGGATATCTAGTCTTCCTTCATCAAAATGCAAAGCAGCAACCCACCCAGAAAGGACTGGGAACATTAGCTTTGGAAACAAAAGGAGGTGATGGAGCAGCTTCTCCACACATGAATTTAAATGCAGACCGGTTTCATTCCTAGAGACAAGCCAGAACCCACTTCCATCAACCCACAGCCTGCATCACAAAGCCTTTGTCTCTCCGCTGCTCATTTCTCTCACTCAGTTAACTTCCTTCACCTCCCCAGACTCGCTCCATGATGTTGCTCACACTGGCTTCACACCTGCTTCCTACCAGAGCCGCTTTATCAAGCCAATAATGCTTTCTCAGCATGTCTGATCCCTTTGAGATATTGACTCATTTAGCCGCAGTGGACATTAAGAGTGGTAACACATCTGGGTTGGCATTCTCTCATGAGTTTCCCTTTGCAGAAATAATGGGGCTTAATTATTTACCACATGAGGCATTGATCCTCAGCATTCACTAAGCTAAGGCTGAATCTGACCACACACTCAAAACCTTTTAGAGGCATTTTCCTTGTGTGTTTTATAATGTTTCTTCAGCTTAATTGATTAAATTAGATGGGATGAAGCGTAGCCAGAAACTGTACCCTGTGTTTTTAAACGGAGGCTAGTCATGGAGAACTATCATTATCCCGTCATCTGTGTCGCTTCTGCAGTGTAGTCCGACCTGATCACAGAAATAATAACACACCTAAGGAGGACAATGTGCCTGTTGTCTGCTCGAGGAAATGGAGAGGAGACGATTGTCTGATCTAATTTAGCCAGGGAGAACACATGGTTCCCTTTTGTCCTCGCCCAATTACACCTGCTCTTCCAGGTTCACTTCACTGAACATGTTCACACGGAGCCACAAATAAACACAAAGCACAGCCGTGAGACCGGCACTTTCCTGATGGGCTAAAAAACTATTTGTGCATTTGTATCGACATTAATTAATTGCTTCATGGCTTGTGAGATTGAATAAGCTACGTGACGCGCTTGCTAGTGGATGTGCGGCTTTGATTGTCGCCTATTTCTCTCTGCCGTCATTTAAAAGACAGTCGGTGTCTGTTGCTTCAGTGATGGAGCAGCTCCACCAACCCACCATGAACTAATGATTCTCTGTATTAGCATGCAAGAGCTGGGAGAGCAGTCGGAAATGTCTCTAATAACAGACCACACATTGCCTTGAGATATATGTGTGTGTGTGCGTTAAAGTATTTGTGAGGATGTGCATCCGCCTGTGAAAAATGACAGTTTATTTGCAGAGACCCAAAACCCTTGTACCATTCAAGGGAATGTATTGCTTTTCTCACAGTAAATGAACTTTTTGTATTCATCTTTCCCCTTGGCCTATTCGCAAGTGCACAAAAAAACAAATCAGTCAAGGTCATCTACCCTGGATTTATAAATATGTCCTGTTTGGTTTGGGTTCTACATCTCATTGAAACCAGACATGACTATTACAATACGTTCACAATACATGATATCACTTATGCTGTTGTAAAAGATGTTTGAGTTTAAAAATGTGAATTAGCTATGAGGGTTTCCATTGTATTAACTATGGATTTTGGATGCAATGTAGTAGCTGTTGAGCAGCCATTAGTATTTTTGCCCATATTACGTTATTTATTGACGCTGTAATGTGGTCTCTATGGTTTTGTGTTGTGTCTTTACAGTCCCAAATCGTATTAGCACTTCCAGCATGCTTCCTTTAATGTCTTCCATCAAAGGTTGAGAAACACAAACTAGGAACAAATCAATCTCTTCTCAGTAATCGATATTTGGCTCACCACAGATGCATATGGGGAGAAGGTGAGATGCAGATTGTGGACCATTCCAGACTGACTGACTGACAGCATGCATCTGTCAGACGTTAGCAGATACAGACAGCTGTCTGGCAGCCCCTGCCATATGAACAATGACTGGGTGGAGACGAGATGGCCAGGGAATCCATCTCCCCTCGACAGCTCCCATCACTCTCACATCCCGGAGTCGGCAAATACACCTCAGGGCTTCTCTCTCTAACCTCTGCGCAATCTTTTCCTGTCGGAGCATCCTACTCGGACAAGTAAAGGAATTTTAGAGGAGGAAGGGGAAGGAGACTGAGAGGATATTGTGATGAAAAGAGCAGCAGATGAGCACGCTAATACTAGGGGTTTAGATATAAAATGAGGATTAGAGTTTAGAAATTAATCTTGCAATGGGGAGGCAAGGTGATAAAGATGGGATCATGATGGCGGGATGCAGTGGAAAGGAGCCGGGATGCTTGGTTTCCTCTAACTGATAATGGGACGTGCCTCTGAATAAAATGAACATCCTGCCTAGATAACACCTACGGCTGTTTCTTCTGGTAGCTGTAACCATTATACCCTCTGTGTCACAGCTGTGATGAATCATCCTCACAACAATGATCAATGTGGAGAAGTGGGAGGCAGAATTTAGCATTTGCAGGCTCACACCAAATCTCTGCCCAGAGCTACACGGGTGTATCATCTCTTGGTTGACACAATATATCTGCATGTGTATGACATCTAAAAATCATAATGTTGCTTTTACATCCTCTTTGTTTGCAGAGTTCGACGTCTCTCTGCACTAACGGCTCACAAAAACCTGGCAACCTGACTTGATCCACTAGTGTTTCCCCCATCCATCTCTTCCTCACTCCCTGCCCTTTCTCGCCTCTCATCATTCATGCTGTGTACACTGTCTGTCGCTTTTTGGTTGCCCAGGCTCCTCCAGAGCTTGTTAATTGCGTTGGTGACACAGGTCTGTGTTTGAAGCTGCAGTAGTAATTGCTCTGGCCTGGCCCGAGGTGAGGAAGGGTGCAGCCGTTTGGCCTCAAGTTCTGCCCCCAGGTTACGAGATTAGATACACACTTCCATGTCTGATGAGACGGATAGCATTAGCAGTTTTATCAGGGACAAACATCAACTTTTACTGCTGTCTTATTGGGATCCCCATTCACTATAAAAACGCATTTTATTTTTGTATTTTGCCATAGCCACCATAGAGTCTATGGTAGCCACACCAGTAGTTTAAAATACAGGCTTGACCTTTATATTACAGCAGGGGTGTCGTGAATACATTCAGTTTATTTGTTTCTCTTCCCTCTAATGCAGGGAGCTCAAATGACATCACTATGCATAATTTGTAGACTCAAATGCACAAGAGTGGAAGACTTAAACGCCTGCTGTTGGACAAATAGCTTTCTCTCAGTTAGTAGTTTAGTGTCAGAGGCCCCATTCATCAAACTGCTCTAAGAGAAAGCAGTGAAACAAGTTGACCATTTAAATATAAAACACTCTAAATGATGCCTTTTGATTTATTAAAGGAA